TTCTATAATATTGTTATTTTTACTGTGTTAAGTATGTTTTGTCTAATGACAAATAAAAAGTCCTTTGGGACATGTTCTAAATTGTGGTGAATTTTAACTGTCCCAACTGATGATAACTCCAGGATGTCAACACCCCTTGAATGATTCCGCTTCTAGTAATAGCCTGGCTCTATTTTGAATATTTTGTTTAAGAAAATAGATTTCTCTAGAAAGAGTGCATTACTTATTTGAAAACTCAGGGGAAATATCAAAGGATGCTTTGGTGAATGGAAGTCGACATTGAGAAGGACCGCTTGTACCAGCACCTCGTTAGTCTTTCAAAACTGTGGTTATCTGAAAAAACACTTGCTCCAATAAATGAGGTTGGCTGAATATATAAGAAATAGCTGTCAAGGATGTTACAAAAAAGCTGTTGTGCTGTGCTTCTCATATGTCCTTTCAAAATTTCCGTAAAATTTTAAAGAAGTAGCTCCTTGTACTCACCCTTCAAAAGGGCACTCCATGATAGGACACTCCATCTTTACCAACCACTGCCTGCTAAAGAGAATCTGCAGGTAATTTCATCACTTTCCTATTAAATTAATGTTTATAACAGTAAATTATTTTCCTTTTTTTTTCTTTGATACTGTCTTTTGATGGTGGCTAGATATATAGGGCAAAATTCAAAATCTGTTTAAGTAGTTTTCTTTCCATGTGCTATTCCATGTATGAGATTTCTACTAACTTCCCTTAAATTATGTTGGATCCAAGTTTATTTTATAGTTTCCTTTTGAAATTTTTCATTGCCTAAAATGGTAAAGTACATTTTATCTCATGAGATTAAGATATCTGTGCTAAACAAGAGACACTGTAATTTAGCCAGTTGAACCAAAGAATAAAATTAAATAGATCTCTTTGGTGGATATCTAAAGTATGTGTTTTCTTTGGTGATAACCTAAAGCAATCAGGTAATTTTTATTGTATTTTTTCCATTACCACTTATCCTCCCTGGCTCCACAATCATACTGTTATCTGTGCCTAATGAGTCTTTTTCTTTTTTTGCCTGATCCCTCCATCCCCAAAGTCCTACCCCCAACCCTAGCTGTCATCCTGCTCTCTACCTATGATACTGTCACTGTTTTGCCTGTTAGTTCAGTTTGTTCATTAGATTCCACTTATGAGCAAAATCATATGCTATTTGTCTTTCTCTAACTGGCTTGCAGTCACCAAGATATGGAGGCAGTTCTGAGTGGATAGAACAACTATGGGACATTTACACAATGAAATACACCTTGGCTGTGAAAAGGAAAAAAAAAATTACCCTTTGCTGCAGCATGAATAGACCTGGAGAACATTTTGTTAAGATACTTTATTTTATTCTTTGGATACACAGTTCCCTAACATTCTCCCAAGGTTCCTTCAGTGACTGATATTGTAAAATCTTGAATTGTGTTTTTATTTTAAATATCTGTTGAAGCATCTGGGCACCCCTGACACATGGTTATTCACTCACCAAGCCATGAGTTCTTTCAAGCACTCCTCAGGTGCCTATATGTGTCAGATGCCATTCAAAGCATTTACATACAGTTTTGTGAACTTTTGTTCCTATGTGGGAGAAAAACAGTGCCTAAGTAAACACAGAGAATATATAGTATGATTTCATGTAGGTTGCTGAAGAAAAATAAATAAAAGTGATTAGTTAGAGAGTACCTGGGGAATAGGAGCATAAATTTAGTTGGAGAAAGTCTGGGAAAGAGTCTGGAAGGTAAAAGGAAAAGGCAATGAGGTAGGAACAAGGGCGATGTGGTAAAAGAGAAATAAGCAAGATGAAGTTTGATAGGTATACAGAAACCAGATGTTTTCAGGATCAGATAACCCCTGCTAAGGAGTTTGGGTTTAATTTCTGGTGTGATGAGACATAATTGGGAATTTAAATGTTTTTAAAAGATAACTTCAATAGAATAAAAGCAAAACCAAAGATAGTACTAAAATCTATACTTACAGGGGAGGGCAAAAGTAAGTTTATAGTTATGAGTATGTGAAAGACAGAGTTTATTCTTATATTGTTATTCATCAATCATTATATTATTTTTATGTATTATTTGTCATGTTATTATTTCTTATCCTTATTTATGATTTATATTTTAGGTAATGATGGCTGATAATTTAACCTACCTTTTCCCATCCCTGTATACTATGTTTTTATTCTATATATACATGGCACAGTTTATTTTATAAATTAGGCATAGTAAGAGATTAACAACAGTGCAACAATGACTAATAATTAAATGGAACAATTACAAGAATATATCATAACAGTTATGTGAATGTGGTTTCTCTCTCAAAATATGTTGTGTTGAACTCACCCTTCTTCCTATGATGATGTGAGATGATAAGCCACCTACATGATGAGGTGAAGTGAGGTGAGTGACATAGGCACTGTGATATAGTGTTAGAGCATCATGGACCTTCTGACCTTGCACCAATAGCAAGATTCTCTGCTTAGGGTGATCCTGGGTCATGGAGACATCATGATGTTGATGTTTGCTTGTCATAAGCAGATGATGTTGATGGTTGGGAATCCTTTATAATTGAAGGAGTTTTTTTTTACCAAAACATTTTTAAAGAACACTATAATCAGAAATCTCTCTCTCTCTCTCTCTCTCTCTCTCTCTCTCTCTCTCTCTCTCTCTCTCTCTCTTATTTTTCTCTCATTCTTGCCATCAAAGTGTTGCTTCAGGGGTTGCAGTCTTTCAGTGGTCATACATGTGACCTTATTTCAGCATTCCATCTGAAGATTATATTCCTCAATTTTTGTAAAATAAAATTACTTGAACACAAACACTTTAATACCATAACAGTTGATCTGGTAACCTAGATGATTACTGTGTGACTAATAGGTGGTAATAGGTAGGTAGAAATTATAGCATGGATACACTGAACAGAGGGATAGTTCATATCCCAGACAGGACAAAGCAGGACAGTGAGAAATTACAATATTCAGAATGGTGTGCAACTTAAAACTTATGAGTTGTTTATTTCTGGAATTTTCCAATTAATTTTTTCAAACCATGGTTGACCAGGGTTAACTGAAAGTGAAAGTGTGGGTAAGAGGGGTTACTGTAGGTTGATGGAGGATATGAGAAGTGATACATATAGGACTTTCACTGAAGTTTTGGCAGGACTTGATTGAAAATAGAATGTCTACATTGCAATTGTATATACTAATTTCGAGCTTAAAAGATGAGAGTGTAGCCAGAAGTTCAAATTTTAGCTTTATGAACAAATAGAAAGTAGTTAAAGCCATTGGACTAAAATAGATCCTAGAGGTCTGGAGTGGAGATAGAAAAGCTGAAAGTTTCTATGACAGAGACTTGGAACACTCAGAGAGTGGGAACAAAGAAAGTGTTTGAGACAGAGCAGCAGATATGAAGAAGAAAAGACGGGGGTGTGAAAGAGGGTAAAAAAGTGCTTAAGGAGGGATTGATCAACTAAGATGTGTAATGTATGAAAGGACTGGGCTGACAGATAATAACTAGGGAATTTTGCAAGTCCAGAAGGCTAACATATTTGTCCTGGAGCCCAAATGTGATTGAAGAAACAGCATGATCAAAAAACTCCATTTCAGAAAGGTTATGAAGATCAACAATACAGAGAACAATGTTCTCAAAGCCTTCCTTACACCAAAGTACCACTAAATCCAACCAAATAACCCTGGCTGGTGTGGCTCAGTGAATTGAGTGCCAGCCTGAGAACCAAAGGGTCACTGGTTCGATTCCCAGTCAGGGCATATGCCTGGGTTGTGGGCCAGGTGCCCAGTGATGGGCACGTGAGAGGCAACAACCACACACTGATGTTTTTCTCCCTCTCTTTCTCTCTCCCTCCTTCTCTCTCTAAAAATAAATAAATAAAATATTTATAAATAAATGAAAGTAAATTAATAAATAAACAAATCCAGCCAATAAACAGCCTATGGTGTTACTGCCCTTAATTTTTCTGCATCAGAATGCCAAATATGGGTGTTTTGCTCCTAAAAGTTTAATGGTGTAATAATAAAATGTCTGTTTGAGTTTGAAGTCAAACTCTACCATATACTAGCTCTGTGCTTGAGTTGTTTTCTTGACTTCTGGGACTTTGGGATGGCTGAAAAGATTTACAGACCTTAAACACAGAAAATATTACAGAACCCACCTCAGTATCACTTATATAATTCAAAGTAAAACCAATCTAAACCCTAAGATAAATGAGGATACTCAACAAATTTCGATTGTTCTCATAATAGTTCTCTCCTTTTCTTTCTTTAAAAATTAATATTTTGTTTAATATTCCAGCTTACCTTGGTCTATGTCTGTGACAACTCAACATTATTTAATTCCCTATAAGCCTCAAGTTCATTAACAAAAAATGGGTGATAGAGTATACATTTGTCATCTTTAGTATGATTCTTGCACACAATAAACATTCAACAAATGTTAGCCTTTCTTGTTTTACTATTATTACTATTATCATCATTAGTAATGTTCTCTTAGAGGAGTGTTGTGAGGATCAATATATTTATGAAAACACTGAGCATGGTAAATAGCACAGAGCAAATAGCACAGAGCAGACAGTAGCAATGTTTCTCTCCTTCATTTCCACATCCATTCCTCACTTTACCACAGTCCTGCACACCAGCACCTGCTGCGCATCACCGAGTTCAAATGAGGAAAAGAAAATAATTTATAAATTGTCTCAGAAGATGAGATAAAATATTAAAAGAAAGTGGAAGAGAGATAGCTAAGTCAACCATTAATTTATTTTTTCACATAATTTTAAACAACAGGTAGTAAAAACACTTTACTAATGCAGATTGTTATCCTAAAGAAATAAAGATTCAGCTACATCTGAAACCTGAAATTATAAAAAGTTGAAATATGATTTTTCATTTCTAAATGGCCGTGCATTTTACAGATCAGTTTAACATTATCACTACACTTAGCTTTTATTGTGACTTAAATTAATAATATATAATTTTGTTTTAGGGGTTACCTGCAAGTCGGGTGAGGTATAGAGTAGATGATATCCAGTCTCCTTATCCTGCCAGTATTTTTGATGTAGAAGAAGATTCTGGAAGAGTAATAACTCGCGTCAATCTTAATGAAGAACCTACCACCATTTTTAAGGTCAGTGTAGTGTTCTTCTTATATTGTCTGTTAGATGTTTATAACTTTTGTTTTAGAATTTGGTTTAACAGATGGCCACACTTGTTTCTATTTTTTTTCTCTTTAATCTTTTAAAATTATGAGCAATACATTTTTACTGGATTGACATTCAGAATATACAATTAGATAAAAAGAAAAAAAAACATTTGCTACTTCACATCTTAGAGATAACTAGAATTTACCATTTTACTCTCTATCTTTATGATGTTATTTTATGCAAATACAAGTATATAAATATATATTTTAAACTACAATGATCATATTATTCATATTGCTTTTTTAACTTAATATAGTCACATGCTAATAAATACTATTGGTAATATTTTAATGTTTGTATGAACATAATGTTCTATTTTTTAATTTAATACTTTGCTGTTGGATAATTAGGCTGTTTCCATTATTTTGTTATAAAAATATTTATTTTCATGAAAATCATTTTGCAATTATCATTTGCCACTTGCTAATATTTTTCCTCAAGGTCAGTAAATACAGTCAGAATTGTTGGATCAAGCTTATATACTCATGATTGTTACACTTTTAGAAAATTTTAAGTAATACTATGCTACATTATTATCAAGAATAATTCAATTTATTAAATGTTTAAATGTTTCTATTTTCTATGGTTATTTTGGAAAAAAGCTATCACTGTGAATAAACTCTTTGGCTGCATATTGGCAAATTACGTCCATCAGTTAACCTTGCAAATATCAATGAGTACTATGTCTCACATAATGTTCTCACTGTTTGGAAATAAATATTTTCTTTGTAAGATTGTAACCTAAAGGTAAATCATGATTCTTAGATTGACCCTATTTTATGGTTCCATGATCTAGGTTGAATAAATTTAGATTAGTAATCTGTAGCTTTCAAAATTATAGTCCAGCAAAACACAGTTTTGAAAATATTTAACATTTCATAAAAATAAGCATTATAATTTCTCTGATATATAGAGGTTATCAAAGAAAATGATGTCATAAAACTATTTTAGTAATAAATAATATACAATAATCACATCTTAAGACTAAAATTTTTCTTTAGTTTGCATTGTTGGAACAATTTATGCTGTATGTTATGAACTTGGTTTTTATATGACATAATTGTTTTTAATTGTTTTTAAGTGAGTGTATTCCAAAGTGTGTTTAAATACAAAGACTTCCAATTTTATCCTCCAGAGTAACTATTTCTGCCCTATAATCTTGCAGACAATTAATTCACTGGAAAAAATTAACTTCCTGCTATAAGCACGCTAGTTAGTTTTTTGCTATTGATGTTACTGAATTTAACACTTTTTCAATAAGTGTTAGCGCTTTGAAGGGCCCATGTTTTCACTGTAGGCACCAGTGGAATCATGAAAGAAAAGAGTGTATTATTGGAGAAATGTATTATAATATACTTATTTTGCTGGCAGTTTTCTCTATTACAGAGTTAGTAACTGAATTTCTTTCAGTCATTTCATCTAACAAATGAAAATAATAACATCTATGTGGCAGGATTTTTGTGAAGATTAAATGATGATATATGTGGCATACACTAGTACAATGTCTGCCACCTGGTACGCAGTGTTGCCCCTCCTAGAAGTCCAATGATTAAAAATGCATGTAGAAAACTGAGACTGTACTTTTTCATTAATCATCTTTAACGTGAATTTTTATTACTCTTTAAGTTGGTGGTCATTGCGTTTGACGACGGTGAGCCTGTGATGTCCAGCAGCGCCATCGTGAAAATTCTTGTCTTACATCCTGGAGAGATTCCACGTTTCACACAAGAGGAATATAGGTATGGATTCCTACAAGGTTTTGTAATTAATAAAGGGTTTTGCTTTGTTTTGGCCTCTAAAAATCAATGTGACATATAAATTTTTCAATGAATTGGTCTCCCACTTCTAATCTAATCTTTTCTAAATTAACATAAAATTACATATATCTTGAGTTAGTACAGTTAAAATGATACTTTAGTATAAATAATATCAGTTTTACTAATGCTTTCATGAATAATAGATCCTTTTCAAATAAATGTTCAAAGTGAACATTGAAAAATATACATTATATTTTTGGTTTAAAATGAAACTCACTAATGGCCTCCATGGTAAGAAGTAGACATTCTGTTTCTTATTATTGCCAAAATCACTATATTATCTGATTTTGCCATGTATCCAAAATGATATTTCCCCAAAAATCAGTGAAAGAGAGAGATACACAGAGAGAGTATATGTATGTTTATGTGTATAATGTATATTACATTATAGCCAAAGTGTTAGTATGTACATGATCTTAGTCAGGTCAGGCTTTTCAGGTTGAAGTCATGTCTTAAACAGCAGACATTTATTTCCTCACATGTCTGGACACTGGAAACCTGAGATGAGGGTGCTAGCATGGTCAGGTTCTAGTGAGGACTCTCTTCCAGTCTTACAGATGGCTGCCTGTTCACTTGTCCTCACTTGGAAGAAAGTGAAAGAAAGCACACAGGTACTCTGCTGTCTGTTTTAGTAAGGGCACTGGTCCCAGAATCAGAACCTCACTCACTCTCATGGCCTGATCTAAACCTAATTACCTTCCAAAGACCTGATCTCTATTGCTTTATTTTTGTTTCCAGGTTAAAACATTAATGTACTTTTATTAGTATGTTAGAACCCACAGGACATAGTTTTCTCATAAACATTTGAAAGTGAACCACTATATACTGTATATTTACTACTTATCTATTCTGGACAGAGCATTAAAAAGCAGCCAATCATTGCATTCCAGAGGTTTTCAGCTATGGGTAGAAACAAAGAACTATATGAAAAATACAATACACTGTGAAAACACAATAATAGAAGCTCACAGTACTGAGGAAACATGTTGGAGAAATACTTAACTGTGTCTGAACATGATCAACATAAATTGAGCTGTATCTAGATGGAAATAGAGATTAGCCACTCGACAAAAATGTGGGAAAATGTTACATGCCAAAGACTCAGTGTATACAGGAATATACTTACAAATGAGGCATATGGGAGGTATATTGAATTCCAGAATATTCTAGTAATTATTCTATCTAGAGACCAGTTGGAAGCTACACAATGATACTAATTGGAGCTCAGGAAAAATGAAAATGTCACATAAGCGAATGCTTTATCATATTTTGGAATTTTAATTTTATTGCTCTAATAATTTCTATGAACTACCTATGAATTATAAGCTAGAGCAGGGGCCAAGGTACTGAAGGAGAAGGTAGGTTAGGCATCTGGAAACATTTACCACACTCAACCAAGTAGTTTTCTCCTTTTGTACAAAGCTGTCCTTACAATATTCAAATACTAAATTAAATTACATAATATAAATACTAGAAACTTCTGCATAACACATATGTAAACCATTGACATGTAGCCATACTTAATATGAATTCATTATCACTCTGTTCTAAAGGCCATTTTCCTCATTATGTCTATTATTACCAATTCCCTTTTATTGCTGTTGACATGGTAACCTCCGATTTTTTTGATAGCTAACATTCAGTTTTCTGCTATTGAAGGAATTACCTAAATATGGTCATTTTGGTTTTCTCAAGAACCAAGATGAATGTGAACTCACTTTTCTTTCTCCTTGACGTATCTAATAGATGCTCACAGAAAATGTAGTTATTTTTTAAGGTGGGTCAAAAAATCCCTCACAGTTTCATCACAATAAAATTCCCACCTTTGTTCTCTAAAACTTCTCACCGCAAGTCCATTTATTCTTTGGAAGCCCCAAGACAAGAAAAAAGTGGTGTGGTGAATAACATTTTCCCTTATATAAACTTAATAAATCATGTCTCTTCTCTCCAGGCTTTTATTTGGAGCTCACTTCCTTATTAACGGAAGTGTGTCTTGCTTGTTAACTTTTCTAGCTAAAACACTGTGGCATTATGGCCAAGGTCAGTGAACTCATCAGGGCATTGCTCATTTAGCTTTCTTTTTTTAATTATAATTATTTAATGCCACCTTTTAAAAATATTTTTTTCAATGAATAATTTACTATTTCTTACCTTCTCTGCATAGAACTGCTAACTGCAAATGGATTCTGTTAATTAAGTTGTTAACTTAGAGAAGAAACAACTAGCCAATTGGTGCTAAAATTAAGAGCAATCATGTGAGCCCATGTGAAAGAATTTTTGACCTTCCAAAAGAACATTTCTAACAAATGCAAATAGTGCCCTGACTGTCCCAGATCTTTTGTTATTCTGATACATAAAGGCAATTTGGTAATCTTCTTGTATCCTGCAGTTTATGAAGAGAATCCTACATAAGAAGCAACGTCATTAGTATAATAGATTCAGTAGTACTTTGGTACTTAAACGGACTGTTTTGTTTTCCATCACATACCCCAAAATATGGATAATAGAAAGTCATATTAAATATTGGCAGGGTGTATTAGTTTTTTTAATAAGTGGAAATAATTGAATTTAAGTATTTATAAAGGCTTAAATTTGATCTAAACTATGAAATGAACTATTACAAAAAAATAAAATCCTAAGGCTAATGATTATTTTTCTTTATCTATCATATTTTTATCATTTATAAATTATGGAGTTTTTTAAGATTTTTAGACATGTACAGAGTAGAAGGTTTTCTAGTAACCTCCTAAATTTTTTCTGCTTACTCCTGGCCATACACTAGACTGCATTCTAACCTCACCTACTATACAGAGCCACATGACTGAGGGCCAACAATGCGAACAATGTGGTCTACACAATTTATTGACCTGACTTAACTTTGTCCCCTGTTAGATGGAAAAGTTAAAAAAAAAAAATAACCAGGAAACCTTGGGAACCATATGTTGACAATAGTAGAAATAGAATATAAGAGGAGCTTAGGCCTCTGAATTACCGTTTGGAGGAGAGCTACCTCACTGGGAATGCCCTCAATGAATTGTTACATAAGCAAAAAACATAGGGACTTATCCATAATGTTGCCTCATACCACAGTTGGTCAATGTTTATTAGTATGAAACAACTAATCATATAATGTATTAATCATATTAGAAACTTTTTTCATTTATAGTGCAATATTTCCCAGTTTGTCATTTTAAAATTATATTCATGGTAAAACAGTTTTATTTTTGTATAGTATTTTCTTTTTATATGTTCAGTTACTAGCTTTGGCAAAATATCTATACCATTTCAGATAGCTTTGATGGCCCACTTGGTGTCCTTTCTAAATGGGGGGAAAAAAGAGAGAAAGAAAAAGAAAAGAATATAAAATGGCTGCTGGAAATTTCATATGTCTTCTTCCCTTTCTTATTATTTTCTGATGCATTTATTGCTTCAGCTGGATGCACATAACTTCCTAAGATGCCAGTGTAATCAATGCCTGCTTATCAGGATGCTTCCCTGTGTTGGAACTGAAGGATGGCAGAATATGTCAACCCTAATTGTGTCACCTTGATATAAGGATTATTTTAAGCTAAAAGCACTTTAAAAAGCACAGATGCAAGAAAGGCCTTCTAATTTCTTGTCCTTCCTTTCTAATCCCATGTGAAAGATGCCCTTCCTATACTAGGAGAAAAAATATTATTATTGGGCAGTCAAAGCCAAGGGAATTCTATACAAACAGACCTTGTTAAAAATAATTCTTACCTCTCTTTAGCCTCCCTACACACAGTTTAGTTACTTTTCCACAACTGCGTCTCTTTGTTCATCTTAATATGAAAGAATGTAAGTCCTGTCATTTCCTTGAGTCTTTATTTCATTATGAGGGCTCCCATGTCATGTAAAATCGATATAAATATATGTCAGTTTAATACTTAGGTCTAGCCAAAAAATCCTAACAGGAGAGAGGTAAAATTTTACCTCCCCTACAGAATTGCTCCCAATGGAAAACTTCTGCTTTATGTGGTCAAATGTGGTGGGACACAACATCATAATGCAAGATTTCTGTTCTTTGCACAGTTTGGGGAGGAGAATGCTTCTGGGTCACAAATGGAAAGCAGTAATCTGAGATAAATAGCATTGTGAGGTGAGGTTTGGTTTTTACATCTCGGGAACGTCTTCACTTCAATGTTGAGTTTTTTTAATGCCTTGGGGAAAAACTAGTTTTCAACAAATGGCTAGTAGTTCAAGAGAGGTTTTAAATATAAAATACATATTTATTTTAGAATTTTGAACTGAATTCTTAACCTGACCTTCTCCCTGAACCTGATAATATTGTTTTTGGAAGGCTAGTCACTAGACCTTTAAATCTTAGAATAAAGTAGTTAGGGTAGGTTAGGCTGCTGTAAAACAAAACCTAAAATTTAATGGTTCAGAGAAACAAAAGAAACACATATTTATGGCTCGCGTGACAGTCTCAAATGAGTATTACATTCAGTGAGGTTGGTGATAGCTCTTCTGCACACATTCTTCCATATTGTCATTAAGGGGTCCGGGAAAATGTAGGGTCTTTCATCTTTAACGTGTTTCAAAATAACTTCAATCATTGCCATTTCAGTCCAAGGAAGGAAAAAAAAGAAGCAGGAGTCCACATCCAGAGATTTTCTAAACCAAGTATGATGGAAGTTGCAAATTTAATATCAACTCATATTTTATCCTGAAAATCCAGGCAAATGTGAACACTAGGCTCTGAAATGGCAGAGGAGTTCTTGGCTGTACAGCTCTGTCCAGGTTCCACCTCTATTGCAGAGGAAAAAGAGAAAATGATGTTGGTAGAAAAGCAGCATTAAGTGTGTAATATTAGACATGATAGATTTCAAATTGCTGCAGTCATTCTAAATGAATTAATGTCTCTCAAAATATATAATATCAGTTACATGAACTAATGG